TGCCCGCTCCGACCGGTTTTTAAGGGTTAAGCCAGATTACAGTCTGTTCACATGTTTGCTTATGGACACCTGTCTACTGCGCTCTCGAGGTGGAAAAGTGTTTGTTTGTTTGTAAACAATGAAATAATGAGGTCATGATTTTGCTGTAATCGAGCAGCTGTGCTGTTTCTCCTGGAGGATTGAAGATGCTCTGCTTCGTGTGTCTGTCAGGTTCAACATGCTCGCTAAGACGCGTCAGACCTGGAAGACGGACGGGATGAACACGGTGGAATACGAGGTCATCTCGCGGGAATATCTGCCCCTGTACACCAACATCACCGTGAACATCGGCACGGAGGTCGGCCTGCACCCGCCGCCCCGGACTCACGGGCCTGCTCCCAAGGCCGACGCGAAAGACGCCGCTGAAAAGCTCAAAGAGAAGTAGTTCTCGCTACTCTCGCTTCAGACGGATAATCCTATCAGTACATGCTGTATGAAGGTGTTGGGTTTTTTTCCTCTAGATTTTTCTTCTGTAAGTTTTGTCGCCCGAGTGTCGCTCTGCCTTCACGTCGTCGGGCGTGCTGGATGATGAAACGCTTAAATCTGTTAAAGATGGATCAGCTCTTCTAAGTGACGTGCCGCTTCCTCCGGTCCTGCTCTAATTTATTCTTCTGAGGGAGCCGCAGCCGAGAGAGGGGGCGGGGCTAACAGTTGGACTCTATGAGTTTATATATCTGCAGCGCTGTGGTCGCTGGTTTAACCGTGTGAGGCCTTAGAATCTATTTTTTTGTCTCGTCTTTTCACTCGTACCTTACTCTGCCGAGGACGGTGGATTTGAAGGCGCAGCAGTCGCACTGTGTCAGACTCTCGTCTCAAAGCTTCTGTGCTTCTGTTACAGTCAAGGCAAAGTTCTCGTGCACACCTGTCTGTGAACACCTTTATTTTACAAAGACAAACGTATCTTTTAAGATAATAGATGAGTTTGTGGGAGTACAGCGGGAGTGATTTCATGGTGTAGATGAAGTTGCGGCTCCTCTTTTTTTCAGCCTTTTACACCATCTCCTTAAACTTCAGTATGTCTGACGTCTTCTGATTGAATTCATCTCTTCTGAGTTCAGTGGGGTTAAACTTTGCATCAAAATGGAGTCTTTTTTTCTTTTCTCTGACGCTTTATATGCAGTGAGTTTAGATGTGACACTAATGATCCTCAATCTGCACAAATCTGGGAAATTAAATGGAACGATGAAATTCAATGGTCACATTTATTAAGCTAATCAAACATTAGAAGAAAAGTGTAATCAATATTTAAGGCCAATGACATTGGGCAATATTTGGGGTACTTTATGTAAATCCTGGTGTTTTTAATAATTGTTAAAATCCTTTGGAAGAGGTTTCAAGAGATGACGACACACTTTAGTGTAATGCCAGTTACATTACGAGTCACCTTAAATAAGAACTTGTTGATGGAGCTAAATAGAAATGTAAGAAGTTGGTGGTGAAACACTGCCCCCAGTGGTCAAAGTTGTAGTTACATTTTGTAACTTTAAGGTGCCTTTAAACTATTTTAATTACTGAAACAAGAACACTGAATGATGGCCTTGCAGGATATTCAGCTTCCAGGTTTTTCCTGTAACAGCGAGTCATTTTGGTACAAATTATTTGATAAAACTGGCACCTGCTTTACCTGTTAACCACAGAAATATCAGCAGCCACCCACCCAAATAGTGTTTATGAGGCAAGTATGGAGGGCAAAGTTTGTGTGTGTGTGGGGGGGGGACATGCATTTATTTTTGTAATTTAAACTAAATAAATAAATAAAATGTGGTTTGAAAATGTAAACATTCGATTTTTATGTAATACAGATTATGTAGACGACATGAGCTCAGTCTTGATTATAACTGGTTAACTGGCCAAACAGAATTGAAAAAACACTAATGTAAGTATGAATAATGCATGCAGGTGTTGAATATTATTATTTTTTAACAAACTGTGCACCAACACGGAAATGGCTCAAATGTAGTATTTAACAAGAAAGTATTTATTTTCTTGTTAAATTATGCCTTTATTTTGTTAGTCCTCATTGTATCCTACATATGCCTCAGTTTCTTCCACTGACAGATCTGTGTATGTGGGGGGGGTCGTCACCAGTGGGGCTGTAAAACCAAAGAGGATGCTGACGGTGTGAAAAGCTGTGAAATAATAAAGTATAGTCCAAATATTTGTGTAACACTGTCGGTGCAGAAACACTACAGACCACACAGGTATCAGACAGACTGTATGTAAAAGATGGCAGAGATCTGTGGACTTCCTGTTTCATGTGACGGTCCAGAATGAGCGGGCCTCTGAGGAGTCGCAGAACCAGCATGTACATTTATTAAAGTAAAAATGTTTTTGATGGAAAGGATTGATGTGATGTCACAGTGGCTCCGTCCATCATTTATATACAGTCTATTATCTGCAGCAGACTTCTGTACGACGCGATGAACAGGAAGCAGGAAGCAGAAGTGAGCCTCAACTGGCTCTACATGTGAGTGCAGTCCTTTTTTTGGGGCCACCTGCTGGTCGTTAGAAAAGATTGCAGGTTTAAGGCACGATGCTACAGCCATCTTTTATATACAGTTTGTGGACGGGGATCATTTTTGACGATTTTTGGGGTTTTTTTGCTCTGTAAAGACCTTCGTTTTGTCCTGTCCTGTGTCGTTTGAAGACTATGACTTTACTATGAAATCATATTCAACCTTTGGCCTTACACACTCATATAATATCATCTATATATCTGTACTGGGAGTTAGCATGCATGGCCAAGAACAACTTAGTGCTGAAGTTGATACATATCAGTGCTCACTTCAAACATATGAAGCATGCTGTGTTGTGAACTGGAAACTTGTATTTTGAGCATTTTCTTCAGCGTATCAAGCCGCCTCTACCTGTGAATATGTTTGATTCTTTAAGCTGCTTAAACGTTTGCTTTGGTTTGACTCCGTTCTGATGTGAAAATAGAAATCCGTAGCCGCAGAGTGAAGTTACCCA